TTTATGCTGAAAAGTGCAGCTGTACATTAACTACAATAGAAGGTAGTAGCAGGCAAGCACGTTGTTGCTATATATACTTAGGCAATCCCTCATTATCGGAGTAGGATAATCCTCAAGGGTGGGTCTGTAGGTGACTATGGAGCCCAATTCTTGATCTGCATCGTCTCCCGCAGTGAGGGCATTGGTTTCCAGGTGGAAGCCGGTCCCGGTCAGGGTTGGCTTGACGCGCCTTCCTCTTGGCATGCTTCTCTCTTTCGCCCTCCATTCGTGTCTCTTCAAATTCTGCAGCACTGCTGGTCACAGCTGACCTCCAGCTGGAGCGCTCACAGGCCAGGGCTTCCCAGTTCTCAGTGTCTATGCCAGCGTTTTTAAGGTTGGTTTTAAGCCCATCTTTGAATCTCTTTTCCTGCCCACCAACATTCCGTTTTCCATTCTTGAGTTCGGAGTAGAGCAACTGCTTTGGCATCCGGACAACGTGGACGGTCCAGCGGACTTGATGGTGGAGGACCATCGCTTCGATGCTGGTGGTCTTTGCTTCTTCCAGCATGCCGACATTTGTCCGCTTGTCTACACAAGAGATTTGCAGAATTTTCCGGAGGCAGCGCTGATGAAATCGTTCTAGGAGTTGCATGTGACATCTGTAGATAGTCCACGTTTCACAGGCGTATAGCAGGGTTGGGAGGACAATAGCTTTATAACATCACAACTCACTTGCCTCTATAATGTTAAGTATTTGTCTGAGATTCTCTGCTTGCTAGGGTGCACGTGTTCTATTAATTATCATTATTTTACTAAGAATTATTAAATAAGTCACGCCTTTATATTTGTGAGGATTAGGGACTGCAAAGTGACTTGCCTTAAGCTCTTTTTATAAGGACTTTGATAACACAAGAGAAGTGGTCGATTCACTCGTCACAGAGAGGAAATCATGCTGGTGTAGTGGCTGAACCTAACAATCTTCGCTTATTCATTCACCATTGGGAGGGAACAGGAGAAGCAGGGAAGATAGTCATCTAGGTCTGTATTGATCTACTATTTTTCACCTCTTTTACACCTATGAGGAGACCTGTGTATTAAATCCTGAAAGCCAGGTTGAGAGCTTCTGAGCAAAAATTAAAGGAGAAAGAAACAACTGGGGTGTCATTGTGGGGAGTCTACTGCAGACCTCCAACTACACTCAGGACTTGAATGGTGCCTTCCTGGAATGGATGACCACAGAAATGAGAGATGTACTAGTATTGTAATGGGAAATTTTAACTATCCTAATATTTATTGGAAGACAAATTCTGCCAAGATTATCAGCTTGAACAAATTCCTGACTTATTTTTCTGACAACAAGAGGATCAACTATTTTAGATCTGATCCTATCCAGCACTGATGAGTTGATAAATGGGATGGAGATGGCAGGTTCTCTAGGTGGGAGCGACAAATATAGACAGAGACACATTTTAGACTTTAAGAAAGCTAACTTCAGTAAATGTAAGAGAACACTGTAAAAACTGATAGTGATCACATGGTCAGGAATCTGTATAAATAAAAAAGTAATGCTCGTTTGTGGGATTAACATAACTCAAAAACCACTGGACGAATTGACACAAAATTTGGACACCACACCCCTAAAAGACCAATGAGTGACCATCACTCATAACCCCCCCCCCAAAAAAAAACAGTGGAAAGGACACCCCAAAAAGCTAAATGATGAAGAAGCTAAGTGATGATACAGGAGAAAAAAGGAAGGAAGAGGGAGGAAAGGAGAGAAAGAAAGAAAAGAGAGAAAGAAGGAAGAAAAGAAAGAAGGAAGGAGAAAAGGAAGCATGGAAGCAAAGAGCGAAGAAAGTAAGGAAAGAGGTAAAGAAGGAAGGAGAAAAAGAGGGATGAAAAGAAAAAGAGGAAGGAAAGAAAGAGGTAGAGAAGGAAGGAAGGGAAGGTAAGAAAAAAGGAAAGGAAGGAAAGAGGTAGAGAAGGAAGAAAGGAGAGAAAGACAGAAATATGGATAGAAGCAAAAAGCAAAGGAAGGAAGGAAGGAGAAAAGGAGGAATTAAAAGAAAAAGGGGGAAGGAAAGAGAAGGAAGGAAGGAGCGAAGGAAAGAAAACAGGGAAGGAAGGAAAGAGGGAGCGAAGGAAGGAGGGAAAGAAGGAGAGAAAGAGGGAGGGAAGGTTGGCCACAGCAATGCGTGGCGGGTACAGCTAGTACTAAATAAGAAAGGAGTGAATGATGGGTGAGAATGTCTGAAAAATGAGATATTGGAGGCACAATTTCAAACAATTTCAATGAGGAGCGTCTAAAGAAGCCAGAATGAATATCTAAGGAGATTTCACCTGAGCTGAGATTTAAAAGAGACATGTACAAACAAATATCCAGCAGTTGCATGAAGGAAGTTAGAAAAGTCAAAGCACAGCAGAAACTCATTTTTGCTAAAGACGTTAAAAACAATACGAAGGGAAATGATTATAGAATCCTAACAAGATAGTATATTTCAGCCAGCCCAAAGAAGCAATGAACTTGCTTGATAAATTGAAAAGCAAAATGGAAAAATGAGGAAGGAGATGAACTCCTTGGATGAGTCAGTTATCCCTTGACTTGACAACAGAAGGTGGAAGATCTGAAACTTAGCATCTCCATTTAAAAAAATCAGAATTGCTACATCACATCATAGAATAGAATAATCAGATACATAGTAAATCATAGAATCATAGAATCAAAGAGTTGGAAGAGACCTCATGGGCCATCCAGTCCAACCCCCTGCCAAGAAGCAGGAATATTGCATTCAAATCACCCCTGACAGATGGCCATCCAGCCTCTGCTTAAAAGCTTCCAAAGAAGGAGCCTCCACCACACTCTGGGGCAGAGAGTTCCACTGCTGAACGGCTCTCACAGTCAGGAAGTTCTTCCTAATGTTCAGATGGAATCTCCTCTCTTGTAGTTTGAAGCCATTGTTCCACGTCCTAGTCTCCAAGGAAGCTGAAAACAAGCTTGCTCCCTCATCCCTGTGGCTTCCTCTCACATATTTATACATGGCTATCATATCTCCTCTCATCCTCTCCTCTCATCTCATCAGTTCTAATGGCTAGCCTATAGGTTTTAAATAATATATAGTCTCATTGGACTGTGCCGTACTTGCTTAAGAATACACAGTAAATATGAACATTAAAATGAAACAATAGTTTTTTAAGCACAAAAGAAGTGGGTAAAATTGAGAACCAGAGAAGAAATATCAACTAGGAGTAGTTTGAGCTGTGACAATAATGACCAGCAGTGTATAAAGCAAGGAGAAATGTGAAGGCCAAGTTACACCAAGTGATAGTTTGTGTGTTTAATTCCTCACGAAAATATGCCACCTTCTCCCCTTTTCACAGTCTGTCCATTTTCTTATATATAACTATTTTGTCACGTTTTCTTTTAAGAACAATAAGTAGGATTATAGAAGAATGAATTAAATAAAAATGTAGAAAATGTCTTCAGTATGTATTAGCTCACACCTAGAACTTATTGTCTAGTAAACGGGATTTCTCTGGAGTAAGTTTTTCAACCCATGCCCTATCAATGCTGTCCCTATACTTTGTGTCAATTTACCATAATCAGTATTTAGTTAATGAGGGCAATTTCCAAGGGATGCTCTTTGTGTCACAAAATTCCTACTCATAGGTGACAGTGTATTGTGTGTGTGTATCTGTATGTACCTTTAAGGACTTTATCACACCAGCAAACTTACCCATCCTAGGACTCTTTCAGCACAGTTCGGGGACAGAGCCTGGCAGATGCCAACAAATGACACACAGCTACCTCTGGTGGGGCACCATTCTTGAACTGTGCTGATCATCCTAGGATGGAGTAACAAGAACACAAGAGGCATCCTGAGTTCTCCAAGGGATTTCCAAGGGATGCTGTTTGTGTCACAAAATTCCTACTCATAGGTGACAGTGTATTATGTGTGTGTGTATCTGTATGTCCCTTTAAGGACTTTATCACACCAGCAAACTTACCCATCCTAGGACTCTTTCAGCACAGTTCGGGGACAGAGCCTGATGGATGCCATCAAATGACATACAGCTACCTCTGGTGGGGCACCATTCCTGAACTGTGCTGATCATCCTAGAATGGAGCAACATGAACATGAGAGGCATCCTGAGTTCTCGTTGCCAGCAACAGGGCAAATGCAGGGGGAAGCCGGGTAGCAACACTTTCCCCTGTGTGATGTGGAAGGTGGCACTGCAGAGTGTGGGGTGATAGATTTCCCCACTACCCCATGGATTCACCACATTACCCAGCAAATCCCCCTGCTGTTTCCTGCATTAGAGTAACTAATGTGATGAGGTCCTAAGTCGCTGTTTGAATTATGGTGACCCTATGAATTTCATAGGGCTTCCTTAGGCAAAGGATCAGCCTAAGGATCAGAGATGGTTTTGACAGTTGCTTCCTCTGAGATATACAACTGGAGAAATAGCGGTCCCACAGAGCATATATGGCCCCCAGTATGTTCCCACCTCCTACATCTAAAGGAGCTGTGGTTGGCAGTTTTGCTACATGGCAGAGTGGTCTGTTTTTAGATAACTTATCCTTATTTTATAGTGGGGAAAGTAACATAAGTTGGTCACAAAACAGGTCTGGATCCCATTAAAATGGCAAAATTGCCTTCCTTGTTGTTCCTAGTGTATGTAGAAAGCTTTTTCAGTTCCCCAGTTGAGAGACTTTAATACGACTTGAGGCAAGAGTTGAAAAAAGTGCACTGCCCACTGATGAAAATGATTATATGTGGCACCCAGTCCTGAGGTAGTTGCCTACCTCTGATTTACAATAATCCTGTACTCATGTAAATTTCTATAAGGAGGATAGTGAGCCAAGTGTTTTTTCATATAGGAAAATATTGGGTAATCCATAATTCCTTCCTAGCATTAGCCCCAGTTTTATTTCCTTGAAATAATAATTTAAAAAGCTATTTAACTAAACATTGTTCAGTCTTGCTAACAACACTTTTCATTTTATGATTTGCTATTTCCAGGGCACAGACAGAAGCTTGATGACTCTAAGCCTAGTTTGTTCTCAGAGCGTCTCAGTGATTTAGGGCGCATCCCTCATCCCAGTATGAGAGTAGGGGTCCCGACTCAGAGCCCACGGCCCCCTCTGAACTCTGCACCAAGCCCTTTTAATCCACAAGGACAGAGTCAGATTCCAGGTAAGAGACAGACCATGGACTTGTTTGCGCCATGGTAGTAAGTAATTGATTAAAGGCCTTTTGTTGTTTTAAAATGTGGAAGAGTAAGATGATTGCCAAGTGGAGAACGTGAGCAAATGGATGCTAGTTGTTGTAGACAGACTTTTCTTAGCATTAATAACTAGATCTTCTTACTGTTCTTGGGAAGAGGGGATAGAGAGCGTGAAAGTAAAAATATAACTCAGTTTTGGGATAACATTCTTTACACTGCCTTGCATAGACTTTTAAACTACACGTAAATATCTGTATATTTATTTGGGATTGCTTGCACACCAATACTTTATTATTCTACATTTGGGCATTATTTCAGCATCCATATCTATCTATGTCTCACTGTCTCAAAGTTATAAACAAATTATGTTAAATCAACTCATGTAAAGTCGGGTTGTTGTAGGTTTTTTTGGGCTATATGGTCATGTTCTAGAGGCATTCTCTCCTGACGTTTCGCCTGCATCTATGGCAAGCATCCTCAGAGGTAGTGATGTAAAGTAGAGGGCAGATTTCGGGGCCAAAATTACAGATTTTTATGTGACCTGTAAATAAGTAAAATATCATTCCACAAAGAGAGAAAAGCGACATTGCCCCTGGCCACCATCACTGTTTTTCCACCCAAGCATTAAAAAAAATGAAAACAAAAGTAGTGTGTTGGTGTGGAGAGTAGAGTGGGGCTGTGCTTCTTTTAGGTTGGTCTAAGCTCTTGCCTTTTGCCACCCTACTCAATAAGATACAGTACTTACATGGATAAGCTAAACCTGGGGTTTTTGTTTACTATAATTTCTAGACTTATACATGAGTACATACAGTAGTATTTGCAAACCAAAAAATAGCTGTCGATATTTCTCTACATCATTGCACAGGCATACCTCAATTAAGAAAACCTTTGACAAATGAGCCTCTTTTACAAATGGTTCTATACCTACCCAATCCCACTTTCCTTCCCTGTCTTCATATGGTGTGAGATTTATTATTTTTTTGTGTGGCAGCATCAACCTTGGGAAAATGATAATCGGGGTGGGGGTAGGCGGAGGGTTGGGAAACGGAGACTTGGTTTTGGGTTGGTTTTGTGTCTGTCTATCTATCTATCTATCTGTCTATCTGTCTATCTATCTATCTATCTATCTATCTATCTATCTATCTATCTATCTATCTATCTAAGGCAGGGGTCCTCAAACTACGGCCCGGGGGCCAGATGCGGCCTCCAAGGTCATTTACTCGGCCCTTGCTCAGGGTCAACCTAAGTCTGAAACGACTTGAAAACACACAACAACAATCCTATCTCACCAGCCAAAAGTAGGCCCACACTTCTCATTGAAATACTAATACGTTTATCTTTGTTAAAATTGTTCTTCATTTTAATTATTGTATTGCTGTAAGTGTCTTTTGCACTATGAGTAAGATATGTGCAGTGTGCATAGGAATTTATTCATTTTTTTCAAATTATAATCCGGCCCTCCAACAATTTGAAGGACTGTGACCTGGCCCTCTGTTTCAAAAGTTTGAGGACCCCTGATCTAAGGTATTTCACCCTCTATCTAAAAGAAGATATTTAACAATAATTATTCAGAACACGACTAAATACATTGGTAAAATGAGCAACAACATCCATGGAATCAACCAATTTAGAGGCAAAAGTTGTGGTGAATTTATTTGTTGTTAGAAAGAATATATAATTGATTCATAGCCATCCCTTCCACTCAGTGCACTTTACAAACTAGATTAAATTACAGGACCCCTCTACATTGACCACTTAATCTGAGTGGAAATCAGCATTGAAGGAAGAGGTTTCACTGCATATGATTACACTGCAAGTCGTAGAACCAGTTGGGGACCGGATAGGGCTTACATGCACTGCAGAGGCTTGCCTTGAACCACAGCATCTGTGGTTTGACTGTCACTGAGAATGTGACATCAGTGGAGCATTTTAGGTGTCTGCACAGCGATTCACATTCTACAAAGTCGTTTTTGACATGTACTGTGGTTTACACTAGAACACGTTGATGACATTAAAGGCTCCCTTGAGAGATTTGCAGTTTGTTCCAACCATAATTAGCTACAGTATTTATATCGTATTTTGCTGCAAGGAGAGACTTCTTCCTAGAGAATCAGGTTTGGCTAAGTGACAATATTACTGAGAACAAATGAAGCTAACTTGGAGCTTTGTTTGTCTTGTTAGATTGCCAAATCTGATTGTCTATGTGATGATGTTACTACTACTGGAACTAAGACCATATTTAAAACAAAGATGGCACGAGTACTGCAACTGATCAGGGATGCAGAGCCATGCATAGTGGTGTGATATCAAATCTGAAAGTATGAGATTAGTAGAGGGCTGCTGTGAATGTGTCTGTGTTTTGTGTGTGTCAAGGAATTTCAAATCCATTAAAAGTAGATACACTATCAATCAGATGCAGAAAAGCAATGATAAAAAAGAAAAAGAAAAAAATGTGCTCACTTCCTACTACCTTAGTGATGTCTCCGTCTCTTAATATAGTCCAACACTATTTGTATAGCTCTTCTTCTAAATAAAACTAATATTAGTCAAACCTACAGTTAACATATTATTCTTATTATTTTGCAAAAAGATAATCAAGGTTTCCAGTCGTTCACTGATTTTTCTCTAATCAAAGTGGATAATTTGCCCATTTCCACAAACTCAATAACCTAAAATAAAAGTTCTCCCTCAATGTACTATTCTTTAGTTGCTGTACATCCAGCATTTTTACTGCAATATTTATTTATTTATTTATTTATTTATTTATTTATTTATTTATTTGCAGTATTTATATTTGGCCCTTCTCACCCTGCAGGGGATTCAGGGCGGATCACAATGCACATATTCATTGCAAGCATTCAGTACCATAGACACACAGCATATATAGATAGAGACACAGAGGCTATTTAACTTCCAGCTTCATGAGGATATGGTTTTTTTAAAATTCTGGCCACCGGGGGAGCTGTCGCTTTACCATCCACTTGTGACACTGATGGAGTACTTCTTCATTCTTTTGCATGCTGCTGGAGAGTTTTATGGCATCGTAAATTAGTTAAATTAGCCTCCCCGCATAAGCGATACCTAAATTTTCTCCTTTACAAATCCAACTGTCTTTTGGGCTGCAAAGATCGACAGCAAGCTAGACAAATGGTCGGAAGTTCACTCCCACCCGGGCTGGATTTGAACTCATGACCTCTTGGTCAGTAGTGATTTTAATGCAGCTGACTCTCAACCAGCTGGGCCACAACACGGTCCAAGCATATTTTTTCTTATCTGATCCTTAATCTGTCCCAACAAAACATTTAGTTTTTAATTGAATATTAATCTGTAGAATCCTCTGTATCAATGCGTATAATTCAGTCATCCCTCACATGTGATTAAAAATCCCAATCTATCGTTCTGCATTTCCAAAAGCCATTTGAGGGCCCTTTATACATTTGAATCATTTTTTTCAGGGGGGAGGGGGGCAAATATCAGTGATCATCATTTTGTAAAAATTCTCCTTCAGATTATAATATTGCAAATTTCACTCAACTTGTTCACATTTTTCAAATCCTTCCATTTATATCCAAAATTCTGGGACCATTTTATCATACAATCTTCAACAATCATCCAGCTCAATATTTCATCAATTTATATGTTTTATTCAATTTAATACTTATATGCTGGAGTTTTTTAATTGTCTTTTAACAGTTGTGAGCTGCTTTGCATTTCAATCACAAAGATAAAAGCAGGATACAAACAACAACAAAAACAAAAAAAAATCATTTTAACTTTATTGTACCATAGTGATCCTTGCCAACCAAATCCTGAGTCATGGCTTTCCAAATCAAACATTCTTATATTACTCAACACAATCCAATATTTCACCCAAACTAACTACCATGCAGAAAAGTACAGTTTCAAATCTTGTAAAACCACTTCTCCTCTTTGTGTAGCATCTTGTGAGAGTTTTTATTTACATCTTGGTTTCATCCCTTCTGATATGAACTTGTCTAAAATTAAAACAACACCTTAGACAAAACATTCATTTTTATCATAGAAAATTTTCCCATCAATGATGATGTACTTTCCCATATCTTTGAAAGCCCTCTTTAATTTCATTCCATGTTTTCACATAGTTACTCTGAAATAGCATATATTCATATTTTCATTATAATTTCCAAGTATTTCACTTTTCAATTTTAAAACTTTATTTATTCAGTTGTTCTTCCTCTTCTTTCTCGTATTTTATTAACACCATCATCTCTCCAAAATCCTTTAATGTATCCAATAATATTCCTATACATTCAAAAAAAATCTTTCAATCACTAGATTACCTGTAAATGCTCTTCAATTAAGTACTATATTTCTTTTTTATTTTTAAATCTTTATTTCTCTTACTTTGTCTTCGAGCCCTATTGAAAATTTCAAGGGCTAAAATCAACAAAGGGGCAAACCTGTAATGTGCTTTTTTTTTTTTTGCATTTCACAAGACTTTGTCAACATACTGTAAACTGATTAGGGGCCTTCTGTGTATCATTAATTGCTTTAAGCCAGGTTATAAAACAATCATTGAAAGTTATGTTTTCTGAGACTTTAAACAGAAAGACCCAATTCAAATTATTAAATGCTTTTTCAGCATCCAAAAATATCAAAGCTGCTTCTTTTTGGTTATATTCTTTCTTAATATTCCAAAACATCCAAGACACATCTAGTGTCAACATAGAATCAAAGAATTGGAATAAAACCACAAGGACCATCCAGTCCAATCCCAGTAAAAACCTTTCCATGTATCTTGTAGGATCATCGCTCTTTCTGTCAAAATAATTGAAAGAATTTTATGTTATTCAGTAGTGAAATGGAACTCCATTGCTTTGTTTTAGTTAAATTCTTACCCAACTATGGCTGCCTCTTTCCCAATTCAAATCTCTTCCCAATATAAAGAACAGATAGAGGTAATAAGAGATCTTCCTCAAAACATTTGTAATAACCAAACAATAGGCCATTTGGCCCAGACATTTTACCATATTTAGACTTCTAAATCAACTCACATATCTCTCCCACAGTACCGTTATATGTTTCTGTGAACCTGAAATGGTTGGCAAGTTTTATATACTTAAATGTTTTCTAGTGAAATTTGCTTTCTTTTATATAGAGAGGAGTAATAGCTATAAATATTGATATGATACTGAAACATGATTTAGATATCATGCCTAGATGGTAGACTGCTTTTCATAGTATGTTCTGATTAGAGATGGAAAATTTCTGGAAATTTTGAAGTCATGGCAGAAACACACTTTGGGGTATTTTGGGGAAGGGTGGGAACATAAATTTTTGGAATAAAAAATTTAGGGGCATAACATTCATTATATATAACTTTGTTAAATGTAGTCAAGAAAATGAAAGCAAACTAGTGATATGATGCTGTACGTAAGAAAGTTTGTTCCTCTTACATAGTTTTTAGAACTGATGTTGTCGTCGGAAAGGGACTTGGTGAAGTTATGTGACAGAAAACATAACTGCTTGCACAGCTATAAGAATCAAATTCAAATATTGTTTTCATTCTGATTTTAACAGTTATCCTCTCCTCTTTTTATTTGGCTGGTATATATATGCTGTTGATTGTGTGAGAATCAACACAAATTCCAGGGTTTGCAGGCTTTCTCTACCCCCATGTGTTATATTATTAAAACCCGGAGCAGATTGTGGTTGTTCAAGGTATAGATGAGAAGAGGGTTGCTTTTATTCAATCTGGCATTTTAACTAGTATGCTCTAAAATCAACATGGAGAAGTCATGAAGTACAAAGCATCCAATAAGCAGGTACTTATCTTGAGAAAATATAGATCCAAATGGAATCTAGTAAATTGACAATAAAAACTCTCGTCAACGTTTGTATTGGTGTACTTGTCACTATCTTACCTAATAACTTATAAAACGTGCCAGTACATTTGATGGTTGTGTCCTATTGTTTTCAGACAGTGAACTAGATGGAATATGTTGTAAAATATTTTTAGTGCTGACACAGGAAAAACCAAAAGCATAATAGCAAGAATGTGTTCAACATGCATTGTGCTATAGAAACTGAATGTAGGAATTAAGTGAAGGGACATCTAATCTGTAGCAACTGAAATATTAGCATCTCTATTCACAGCCACCAAAGCTGTGTTTGTTTTGGGGACCCTTTTTGCCAAAAGCCTCCACATATTCCCCCGTGGCCCAACTCTGTAGGGAAGCTTTCTCAGCAACTCAGTCTCATTCCCTTTCTTCCCTGGTCAGGTTATGCTTTGCAGTAGGACTGCTTTCTCTAGCATTCTTCCACCATCCTGCCTCGGTGCAGTTTATCTATCTTCCTAGTGCTATCATATTATTTTATTTCTTTAAGATGATGATGGTGGTGATGAGGATGAGGATGATGATGATGATGCAGCCTTCCAGATGCTGTTGGCCTGCAACTCTGCGCAGCATTCTTCAGCATAGTCAATGCAGACCGATGCTGGGAGTTTGTGTCCAAGGTGACTCCTGATTTAATACAAAGATACTCCTGATTTAATACATTTTTATCCCATATTGCTTCCACCAAAGAACCTAAGCTAATATATGCACATGGGGTTCCTAGTCTAGGCTTTGGCCAGATGTAAGACTCTTTCATACTACAGATTTATAGTGTAATTATTCTATTTTAAATAGTTTGGTTCTGTTGTATGAAATCCTGGGGTTTGCTAAGGAGCGAACCCTGAGAATCCTCAGCTAGGGAATTCACCAGTGATGCCTCCTATAAAACAAAAAACCCCAAGAGCAGGCATGTAGCCAGGGGGTGGGGGGCTTGGGGGCTTCAGGCCCCCCCCCCCCAATTCTGATGGTGGTCGGCGAGAAGGCCTTACTGGTACATTATTTAAACTGTTATATTTATTCATATCATGATCTGATCACCATGCTCAATATATCCCATATGCATGGGGGTATTGGGGTAACAATACAAAAGGTTTGCTAGGGTAGACCCTCTTTCACTCAGACTCAGCCCCCCCCCCCCCCGAACCAAACAAAATCCTGGCTACGGGCCAGCCCAGGAGGATTACTATATGTTCAGGGCAGTTCAACAGAAATCATAGGATGAGAATTACGTAGTGGGAAAAGGAAACTAAATATATCATCCTCAGTGAAAGTGCGAAATCATTAGCCTTCACACGATTTTGTCCTTTTTGTAGACTTGGTTTATGGATTTCCTTTAGAATTCTTCCCTTGATTCTTCTGTACTTTAAAGTATATATCCTTTGTAGTTACAGCATCTGCATCACTGACACTGTGTCTGTGAACAATCTCTTCTGTTTCTTAATAATAATACTAAAACTTTATTTATACTTCGCCTCCATCTCCCCAAGGGGACTCGGGTCGGCTTACATGAGGCCATGCCCATCAATACAGTAAACACAATATAACACAAAAACACAACAGAAAATCAGAAAATAAAATAACATAAGATGCAAAACCAATGTAAATAAGCAACACAACAATATAAAATCAAGCATTAAAACACAAATGATCACACTGGGCAGGGCCAAATTCAAAGATGAAATTTTAAAAACTGGGAGATAGGACGATGTAAAATATCAGGGAGGGGATCTGGGGATGAGATAGGATTTAATTGCACAAGCCATAAAAAAGTACTTCTGAGGTCATTTTATGCAGAGTTTGGTCAGGGAGTATCTATCTTACATTCAATCATTGAAGGCACATTGGAATAGCCAAGTTTTCAGGCTCCTCCTGAAGATTGCCAGGGTGGGGTCTTGCCTAATGCCTCGGGGGAGCGAATCCCAGAGCCAGGGGGCCATCACAGAGAAGGCCCTCTCTCTCATCCTCACAAGTTGCACATGCGATGAGGGCGGGAGCAAGAGAAGAGCCTCTCTGGAAGATCGAAGAGGTTGTGTGGGTTCGTAGACGGAAATGCAGTCGTACAGGTAGGCAGGTCCCAAACTGTTCAAGGCTCTGTAGGTCAAAACCTGCACCATGAATTGGGACCAGAAAATTAATGGCAGCCAGTGGAGTTCCTTAAACAGGAGGGTTGACCGCTCTCTATAATTCACAGCAGTTAGTTTCTTCTCTTCCACCTTGCTTATATTCCCTGTTCCTTAGACCTTCTTATTCAGCTTCCAAGTTATCACTCTTCCAGTGCTAATCTTCTGCCCATGTGAGATACTTTCTAGTCAAACTGATGTTTCCTTTCTTCAAAGACTCATAGAGCTGGAAGGGGCATTGTGGGCCATCAAGTCCAGCCTCCTGCTGAGTGCAGGATCTCCATCAATAGTGTTGCGATCAGGAAGGCGCCCAGAGAAGGAGACCCTGTCACCTCTCCAGGCAATTGGTTTCACTGTCAAACTGCTGATAATGTCTTGTTTTCTATGCTCACACTTGCTCTCATGGAAACTGTTTGTTTCTGTTGCATTCCTCATTGAAGTTAGACTGTTCTGTGGCATCCCAGCAATTTGACTTTTCCTATGACAGATTTTCAGGTTGGATTTCAGGTGACAATGCTGATTTAAGGGATTTGAACAAGGCTAGTATGAATGTTGCATGACTTTCCTGCTTGCCTCTGCTGAGTATTAAAGAGTTTTCCCTAGTTGAAGTGCTTTGGTAGCTTACACATAATCGGCCTGTTTATAGCATGAGTGGCGAATACATTTTAATCCAATGGTTATTATCAGTGGGGCACTAAACTCTGGAGGAAATTGATCAACTTTATTTGATGCTTTCACTCTTGGAGAGACTCTTATGGTAGGACATTCCTGTTTGTTTCTCTGCTGCTATAACTAAGCTGGAGTTGAGCAACAGAGTGGATGGCAGATGAGAGTGTGCAAACATGTTTATAGACAGAAAACAGTTTATAGTAGTTACCACCCGAAAATCATTTCAGATGAGATTTCATTTTGCTTGTTTGTTTAATGCTGTGCAGTAACTGATCATTCTCTCAGCCTGTGTGTTTTCTCCTCCCATCCCCCTACTATATTGTGTGAATCCATGGTGTCCCATCAGAGGGCATGGGGAACCTGTCACCCCACAACCCATATTGCCCAGCTTACCTGGGATCCCATCCTGCGGAGGAAGCATTCGCTGAAGCCTCCAGTGTTGCTGTGGTGGCGTCATACGCCACTTTCTGTCCCTTTTTCCCATGGAGACAAGCAGAAAGTACACATGCTTTATGTAATGGGACACTGTCTTGAAAGGGAAGAACAAGTGGTATACGATGGGTGAAGTATGATGATGTTGTTAGAAGTAGACATTTGATAAATCAATTCTGTGCACATGTACACAGGAACAAGTCACACTGAATTCAGCGTAGACTTCTAGGAAGTCATGTATATGTTTAGCTTCACCTCTTGTGAGTGGCACACATTCTTTGAGTTGCTATTGCCATTGAGGCCAAGTATTTGGAGTCATTTTCTTCTGATGTATTCCTATCAGTTGGCCCCCATATACATCAACTCTGCATCCATAGATTCAACCAACCATGCTTAGAAAATATTTTTTTAATCCATAAAAAGCAAACTTTAGTGTTTGCTATTTTATGTAAGGGACACTATTTTATTCCACCATTGTATGTAATGGGACCCGAGCACCCGTGGATTCTCTATTATCCACAGAGAGTCCTTGAACCAATCCTAGCAGATACCGAGAGTCCACTGTACTTGGACACTCCAAGTCCACTAGCTGTTCCTGCCTACTAGTCTTTTATTTTAAATAATTTTTCTCTTGTTTTTTTTTTAGACCCCAGACAAGCACAGTCATCCCCTCCATGGTCCTATGACCAGTCTTATCCATCATACTTGAGCCAGATGACTTCACCATCCATTCATTCCACAACTCCCCTATCCTCCACACGAGGTACAGGGCTTCCTGCTATCACCGATGTACCCCGACGCCTCTCAGGTAAAGACTGTGTTTGAATTAAACCAGCTCTCAGGTAGAAACAGGATAAGCCATGGTTACCTATTGGGTATATACTAGCAAGTATTATTACCCTAATTTCTAGTCAACAAAAATAGTCAGGGTTGCTCTGTGGACTGGCTCCAGTCTACTCCTCTTTTTGGTCCTATGGACTAAATATTCGAAAGTTCCTTAAAGTCAGCCTGCTCTCCTTCACACATTTTTGGCATGGGGTGCCTTCTGTTATGTGAAATATTTATTTTTTAAAGTTCCCTCCTAAACCTTAGTTTCACTAATTCCTTCATGTCAAAGGTCTTTGTACTTATAATCTTAAAGTGGCTCTCATTCCTCTTAGGCAATGCACTGAGAATGTGACAGTGCTTAAATTACAATGCAGATATATAGTTACTGGCTACACATTTCAATGTTTTACATAGCAATTTTTTCACGTTGATTTCACATTTCTTTTTTGAAGTTTTTTCTTCTTTCTTGTACATTTTAAAAATTAAAGACATTTGGGATATTGGAATACTCTTTGTAAAATATCAGAATAAAGGTTACTCCAAAACTAGATAAGTTTACATAGATTACATAAGACATTGGGAAATATATTTGAATTAGCCTAAAGTGATCTAGAATAATTTTTTGGATGAAACTGAAATCCGAGATCGTTGTGGTCCTGCCAGTCAGTCAAGAAATTCCATAACTGATAAATTTTGGGAACCACTACTTTTAAGGTCCATTTCTCTAGAAGTAATTTGCTTCATAAGAAATTACTATTTTCTGTGTTTTGTTATGGGAGTAGCTGGTTGGAGGGGACCTAAATGCGCCAATTTCACTGAAATCTTGAAACTGTACCGTGGGAACCATAGAAATTACCGATTGGCCTGCCTGAAATATGTGTGAAAGAACATTTTTTTTCCTAAAATGCACTCTATCAGCAGTCTGTCACCATTTATTATATCACACATTCTTGACCTATACACTCAATATCTTACAACAAATAGATTATCTCTTTCATATTCTCATGCTCTAAAACAAGTTGTCACCTCACACTGTTGATTTACGTTCAGCTTCTGGTTTGCTAAGAGCACATCTACACTAACCATTTCGGTTGGCGTGTCATTAGGTCAACCTCGCAGCTAAACAATAACAAGGTGGAAAACAAGGCAGCTGGGCTAGGGTAGCTCAGGGAGGGAGTGACACAGAGGGAGAGGGAAGTGGCAGCTGGACTTCTCAGGGAGTCCCAGTTGGCCACAAAGCATATTGCCATAGCAGACACTGAGTCAGACCTGCTTTTCTGTGTAGAATCTGTTGGAGGTTGTAAATGTAAATAAACAGAAGCTTTACCACTGTTTCTGAATAATAATATGTCACTCAGATTTGTGTAATGAGTAACAGTAACTTTACTTCAGTTCAAAAGGTCAAATAGAGAAACAATACACACACACACACACACGATTAGGCTTCAGAGAGTTGGCAGCCATTTCCTTTCTGACTATTTCCAGTCAGCGCTCTCGTCACTCTCTAAGATAAAAATGGCAGTTAAAACCATTTGTCTCAGCATCAAGCTAGAGAGAGTAGCCAGTCAGAATTCTGGCTCCTGGCATGCTCAACCAATCAGCTGCCTTTCCAGTCAACCCATTACATCATGGTGCCTTTTTACAAATCCCCACAGAACTGCCATAAGACTCTTAGATCTCTTTCATTTATAGAATTTTTTTTAATGCCGGTGTTACCTACCCTATATCTCTTAATGTAATTTTTATTTATTTATTGCCAAAGTACCTTACATTTCTACCTGCTGGAATTCATTTTGTTAGTTTTGGTCCAGCTCTTTAAGGTCATTTTGAATTTGGATGCTGTCCTCTGGGGTATTAGTTATCCCTCCCCATTTGGTGTCATTTGCAGGTTTTATAAACATGCCTACTAATATGCTGTCCAAGTTATTGTTAGAGGTGTTGTATAGCACTGGGCCCAGTAGAGAACCCCCTAGTATCCAACTGGTCACTTCCGTCCAGTATGAGGAGGACCCATTGGGAAGCACCCTTTGAGTTTGATTGGTTAACCAATTCCCAGTCCACCTAACAGAAGCATTGTCTAGCCCACATTTTACTAGTTTCTTTGTGAGAATATCATGGAAGTCCTGGTCAAATGACTTACTGAAATCAAGATATGCTATATCCACATCATTCCCTTCATTTACCAGCCTTGTAACTCTATTTCTTACAAAAGAAATATGTTTAGTCTGGCATGAGTTGTTTTTCAGAAACTCTTGTTAAGTTTTTGTGAGTATAGCATTCTTTTTGAAGTGCTTACAGATAGTCTGTTTTATCTGCTCCAGAATCTTTCCTGGTCTTGATGTCAGGCTGACTGGGCGGTAATGGTTTGGGTCCTCTTTTCTCTCTCTTTTTGAAGATGGGGCATTTGCTTTCTTTCAGTTTGCTGGGACGTCTTTCTTCTAAAAATTCTCAATTATGATTGCCAGTTGTTCTGAAATCACTTCTGCCAGTTCGTTTAATACGCTTGAATATAATTAATGAGGCCTTAGATATCTTAATTTATTTAGAACTAGCTTAGCTATCCAGTGATGCCTAGGTTAGGTAATTTGTAATGCTATTTAGTCAAAAAGTCATTGTTTGTTTTGAATTTTATGAATGGTCCCATTAGAAAATGCATAAAGTTATGGGTAAACTACCACTCCCATTGTCCCTGGTCTATTCCCCCCAAACCCCACTAGTACTTAAATTTGGTTATGAGGTGTATGTGTACCAGGTTTGATCCAGAGATATCATCAGTGGGGTTCACTGATGATATATCTCCCATAATCCTCTATCATTGCCCCCCCCCCCCCAAACTTCTCCAGTATGTAAATTTGGTCATGGAAGGCATGTGTACCAAGTTTGGTCCAGTGGGGTTCACGGTGTTCTCTGGAAGTTCTCCCAGAATGTGGGGTTACTGCAACCCCCATCATCCAGGGTCTGACTATGTGTGACTTCCCTTTTTTGCTATCTAACTATCTCAAAAGAAGATGGTCACTTCCATCTAAGGATGCCATTGCATCCACCCTATTAATCAGGTCATCACTGTTGGTTAGGATCAGATCTTGTTACCTCTTCTACCTTCTGGACCTTGAACCTGTCTGTAAGGAACATGAGGAATTTCCTGGATCTAAGATTCTTGGCAGAGTTTGCATTCCAACAAGTATCAGGTTAAAAATCTCCCATTACTATTACATCTCTCCTTGCTGAATGTGTGACCCTTTGTTCCAGAAAATCATAATCCATGAGCCCAGTTTGGCTTGGAAGTCTTTAGTAGACATCCCTGTTGTTTCTTTTCCCCTTAATTTTTACCCAGATTCTCTCTTCCAGCATTTATGTCTTGGATGTCCTTACAGGTGTAACATTCATCATATACAGTGCTACTCCCACTTTCCTATTATGGTTTGTTTCTCCGATTTAGATTATACCACTATTACTACATTCCAGTTATGACATTCATCCCACCAGGTTTCAGTGGTGTCAATTTTCTCATATTTGCTTTGTTGTATTAATTAAATTCATTTTGTTTATTTCTGTGAATGGTGCATTATTGTAGAGATACCAAAGCCTGCGGGCCACCCCCTAATCTCCTTATTTAAGTTTTTTGCTCTTCTCTTTGTTCAGTTCTTGTACTTTTTACACTGTTCTCTCTGAAATAGTTGAGATACTGTCTTCTAAAAAATTCTTGTCCCCTTCCCTAGATAGCTCATTTTAAATCCCTCCTGATGAGGTTTACGGGCTCAAGATGTTCCTCCCAACCTCTGTGAGGTGCAAATAATCCCTTGTCAGAAGCCCAACTTCATTACATCTCAGACTATGGTCCAGGAGACCAAATGGTTCCAGACAGCACCATCTGCAAAGCCAGTTATTCATATTATCCTCCCTTATTGGACCACACCCTTGAACTGGGAAGAGAGAGAGATTCATGCCCTGTATATCAGGGCTCTTCTGCTCCCTACCCAGTCCAATCACCCAGATGTGTGTGTGTGTGTGTATGTATGGTGTTTTCAGGCAAATGTTGCCATATTTGAGATTATTTTCACTAATAACATGAATCTACATTCCATGGTGTTCTGTTCACACTTTTATTATTTATTCACATATTTTGATTATTTGTTCTAGTGGTTACTTTTTCCTCTGGCAGTTTATAACTCTTAACTCTCCTTTGAATTTAGTTTTATTTTAAAATGGGCATAAAACAATTGGTTTCATTTTTGGACATCTTCATTCAGCCCAAGTCTCTGGATAGTCTGTGTCATTCTAACTTGTCACATTGGCTCTTCTTGCAGCTTTGCCACTGGCAATACCTGCGGGCAATGGCTGGGTTTGGTCTGCACCAGCTGTGGAAGTTTCTTGCCCTGCAGCCCTTGCTTATTGTCAATATGCATTCAGGCATTGCTATTTCACACGTGAAAGAGTCAAACTGCATGGAAGTCGTGCCATTAAATGAAAGTAGGGAAACAAGCTATCTCCTTTGCACACCGGATTTAGGGGAGTATTTGATTCTTCTGCTAGTCTCTTCATATAGATTTTTATTTTCTTTCCCAAAGAGAATTAAACTGATTTCGTGATCAAAGAAGTAGGAATATGAGACTTTTTGTGCTCTACTACTACTAATAATAATAGTAATGTGTTGCCAAAGACTTTCACGACCGGAATCACTGGGGTGTAGTCTGGTTTCCAGACTCTATGGCTGTGTTCTAGCAGCATTTTTTCCTGACATTTGCCTGCATCTGTGGTTGGCATCTTCAGAAGATCTGAAACATTTTTAAAAACCCATTAAACTACACAAAACATGGCAAATACACATTATGCACATAGTAATTGTAATAAAATAAATAAATACATTTGTGCATGAAAACTTTGTGTACACAAAACCACCAGAAAGCAAAAGGCACCATTATCACAGCTATTCGTGTGGATAATTTTGGATTTTGGAGTATTTTGGATTTCAGAATTCCA